CGGGGCTTGGCGCCCCTCCACGCCTTCTCGGTCGGACACAGGAAGGGCTTTCCTGAAGGCTGATTCGGACTTCCGTGTTTATGCTGACGCGACTCACCGCCGCGGGAGACCCGCACGAGATTCACCAGGATGCTGCTGATGCCCTGGGCTTGGGATTCACATTTGTCATCCTTGAGGCTATCACCTGTCCCGGGAGGGTCGGGTCAAAAGAAGATGTCCATAGTGCTGCTGATCCTGGGGCCTCATTTTCGAGATTGTGTGCGACTGCGGTCGGGTGGCAATGCTCACGCTGAATCGTGCGATCCGGGTGTTCGGTGTTGGCACTCTAGTGAACCACGGCAGGACATGCTGACTGCCGGTTTTCTGTGTGCAGATGGCAACAAGGTGTCCGTGAGGAGCATATAACGATAAGTGATCAGGATTGTTATATAAGGGTCTAGTAGGTTCGGGGAATACGTATGAACAGCTTTGGGTCACCAGCTATCTTCGTCTTGACTGTTGAGGCCATGATCCCTGGCAGGCGCGTGGAGGCAGGCATGTCTTCTGAACACTTGGGCAGGAACACCACCCAATCCTTATATATATATATATATATATGCATATGCTTGGAGTGAAGAAGGCATCAACCTTGATCATAATATAGATGCCGGAATAGTTACCACCGGGCTTCCCAGCCCAGCAATAGCCTCTCAAGTCGGAAAGTGGGGAAGGGCTATCAGGCTGGCTGCTGCAGAACTAAATTCGAAGCACGTGAATGAAGGCCCCTGCGCTCATTGCCCAGGCTGGGGCGGCGGCGGTGGTGCCGCGCTCGTGACACAGTTCACACAGGGCCCCAGCAGCTCTGCCATCTTCCGCAGCTGCAAGGCGGACCAAGGAGCCTGGGCTGCAGTGCTGGTGACGGTAGCGTGCCGGGAGCCTGCCGACACCCATCCCTTTAGGGTTTGGGGTTTCGGGTTTAGGGTTTAGGGGCAGGGCATGGCTACTACTCGCGCAGGGGGATTCTACATTTCAAAACAGCTGTTGGTGTCTGCATGGACTACTTGCCATGTGAGGGCCCCTGCAGTGTTCTTGTGACCGTCATACCGGGATCCTGCTGGGAGCCTTCGACGACAGCATACGACAGCCCCAGAAAGTTCGAAACCTTGGGGGATTTGGGGGTTTACAGCGTTGTGGTGCCCCAAGGAGGCGGCCTCCGTGCCTTCGAAGGCTACCAGCAGGAAGCCGGGAGTTCGGTGCTCTTCGAGAACTGCTCGGCAGAAGGCACCTTGGAAGTTGAAGGTATCAGATTTTGTTTAACCCAGCCGTCAGATTCCCGCGTCCTCACCGTGCTATATACTTGTGGTCATTCGGAGATTGTCGCTTGTTGAAACGAAGTTCGATCGTTTTCGTCTGCTTTGTCCGGTTTCAGAAGAGCTTGCAGAAGCGGCCTTACAGGCTGACCTCTAACGTAGAAGCCTTAGGGTTTTGGGGTATATTATGATATTCAATAATAAGGAGCCCCCAAGATAGTATAGGTAATTATCAAGGCCCTTGTATTACGCGGCTTAAACGCCTTGTCTGAGCGCCTGAAGGCCCCTGAACTCATCGCTCGCCGTCTGTCCCAGGTTACGGTGGCGGTGCATTCGTGCGCGATAACTTCACGCAGGGCCCCGACAGCTCTGCCATCTTCCGCAGCTGCTTGACAGAATCCGATGGAGCCTGGGCTGCAGTGTTCTTGTCATGAGCTTCACAGTCAAAAAGCCTTAGATCGTTTGTGATTTCGGTGTGAGGCCCTGTGTTCCTGCCACCGTCACCAGTGTATCTCACGGGTGGTGACTGCATGGACGGTAGGAGAAAGATAGGCCTTGAAGAAGTTTTGAAGTACTTGCCATGCAAGTACTTTTTGCGGGGACAGAGTCGGCAGTCAAATGTGGTAACGGACCTCAAAGTCTCGGACTGAGGGAGCGGGGCTTGCGGACTCCTCAGAGCTAGTTGATCTTTGTTGATTTTGGGGCCGTTGCAAGCTTGCAGTCCCATCCCCGACAGACATGTGAGCGCGTGCGCCATTGTCGGGCATGCTGCTGCCCAAGGAGGCGGCCTTTATGTCAATAGCAGATACCAGCAGAGCATCGGGAGTTCGGTGCTCTTCGAGCACTGCTCGGCAAAAAGCGCTCTGGCAGTTAAGAGTTAAGGGTATCAGATTTTGCACAGCAAACGTCGGGTTAGGGTGTCCTCACCGTGGTATTTGTGGCATCATTCCGCGATACATCGCTGTGCTTCATGCTTAAACAAACCTTGCTCGGGGCTGGCCGTGACAGAGAAATTGTGGGAAGGTGGTGCTGTTAGGGCGTCGCAGAGAAGTTTTATTAGCCTTAATTCGCTGCTTAGAATCAGCGCCTGTGCTCTCCCCCAGTTGATGGTGGCGGCGCCCATGTCAAGAACGACTTCATACAGAGCCCCGAGAGCTCAGTCATCTTCCGCAGCTGTTCGGCGAAATCCAGTGGAGCCTGGGCAGCAGCGTTCCTGCCACCATGCAAGCCCTTTTTGCGGGAATGTGTAACGGACCGACAGACAGGTGAGTGTGTCGGAGCCTCTGACAGCATTTTCAGGGCATTGAGAGATTTTGGGCCGTTTCTGTGGCCCTGCTCCCATCCCCCGCCAGACACGAGAACATGTTAGTGTATTTTCAGACTCTGGTGCCCCGAGGAGGCGGCCTCTACGCCGAAGGCGGCTACAGGCAGGAAGCCGGGAGTTCGGNNCTTCGAGCACTGCTTGGCAGATAGCGGCTTGGCAGTCGAGGACGTAGATGAGTGTTCTTGACAGTGGACATGGCATTCGGGTGTCCTCACCACGGTTTCTGTGTGGCCTCATTCCGGGCGACACGGTCCTTGGAAAAAGAAGGGCTTGCAGGGCCGGCAGACTCAGGCTGAAGATCTCTATGGCTTGGGTGGGGCTGGCCGTGCTAGGGAGACGTAAGGCTCTCAATGCAAAGTGGGCTGAACTCATTGCTCCGAATCTTTAGCCTGTGCTGTCTCTCAGGTGACGGCGGTGGTGCACGCGTGGAGAACTT